CCTGCTAGACTACATACATTTCCTCTGGCAGTCACAAGAGTTATGTGATGTAGAAATATTATTAGCTGATGGATCAGTTGTGAAGGTGAGTAAGTGAAACATTTATCTGTAAGTGAAGAAACATTTACCTCCTACCTACATATCTTTCTCTGCCTGCCCTCCATTACCACTCACCATTTACACACATATAGGGGGAGGGAAACTTAACTACACTGCCCATACTCACCGTCCGTTTAGGAGAAGTCAGTGGAACATGGTTAACAAAGTATATCCAGTACAGTAGAAGAAATTTCCCTGTTCCCCCAACTTCCCTTCTTCTCCGACACAAATAAACTGTTCCCCCAACTTCCCTTCTTCTCCGACACAAATAAAGAGTTGCTTATCCAACTTTTTTCGCACGAGAGAATCAATGTTTCCAAGAAGTGATTTTATTTTGGCGGCTTGCTTCCTAGCAGTGGTTTGATTTGGGCGGCTTGCTTCCTAGCAGTGGTTTAATTTTGTTGTCTGTCCGTCTATAATTCTCTCACTTTTATGTAATCTGATAGGATTACATTTTATTCCACAGGCTCACCGTGTAATACTGTCAGCGGGAAGCGAATATTTTAAGACAATGTTTACGTGTGAATTTGCTGAGAAAACAAAACAGTCAATAGAAATGAAGTTTATGAAACCCAATATATTACAACTGCTCGTCGACTTCATATATACTGGTAAGGGAAAATATTTTAAGTTTTCATAGTGCTATACTGCTATCTATATGTAAAATTTTTATTTTGTTGCAAATTAATAAATGAATTTTTTTTTTCTTTTTTTGTCAAAAACTTTAGGAAACATCGAGATAACAGTGGAAAATGCACGGGAGTTAATTGCGGCTGCGAACATGTTGATGATATCACGTGCTGTACTTGTTTGTATAGACTTTCTCAAGAGCGAACTTCATCCATCTAATGCTTTGGGAATTTACCGGTACGTGCAGTATAATAATAATAGTTAATTATTTTCCAACTGTTTATATAATATGTATTTTTATCTGTCCTATACGTAATTTTTTTTTTTTTTTTTTAAAAACAGGTTTGCTGAGGCCCATAATTTAGTAAGGTTGCTGCATTCTTCCCGGGACTTCATCTTCTCCAATTTCGTAGAAGTGACAATGGAGCAAGAATTTCTTGAGATTCCTTCTTCAACACACACATTTAAAATAAAAGAAATACTGTTGTTGGCTGTAGTTTATAGTTGTTACTGTTTGAAGAAAATAAACAGAAGAATCAACAATGCCAACCACTACCACTACCACCACCACCACCACCATAACACCACGGGTATTACCAGATATCGTACCACAATTCACTACTAAAAACAAAACTAGACAACTGGTTAGTATTGGTATTAGTATCTGGTATGCGGCTGCATATGAGATCTCACACAGGAGGAGGAGGAGGAGGAGTGTAAATCTTATCCTAACTACCTGCAAGACTGCATACATTTCCTCTGGCAGTTACAACAGTTATGTGATGTAGAAATATTATTAGCTGATGGATCAATTATGAAGGTGAGTGAGTGATATATCTTTCTCTGCCCTCCATCACCCAAATCTTAAAAAACAAAAACTGATGGATTACATTTTATTTCACAGGCTCACCGTGGAATACTGTCAGGAGGAAGCGATTATTTTAAGACAATGTTTACGTGTGGATTTGCTGAGAAAACAACACAGTCAATAGAAATGAAGTCTATGAAACCCAATATATTACAACTGCTCGTCCACTTCATATATACTGGTAAGGGAAAACATTTTAAGTTTTCATAATGCTGCTATACTTATATTTAAATTAAAACGAAATACATTATGAATAAAAAACTTTTTTTTAATACTTTAGGAAACATGAAGATAACAGTGGAAAATGCACAGGAGTTAATTGCGGCTGCGAACATGCTGATGATGTCCCGTGCTGTACGTTTTTGTACAGACTTTCTTAAGAGTGAACTTCATCCATCTAATGCTTGGGGAATTTACCGGTATGTGCAGTATAATAATTAATTATTTTCAAACTATTTATATAACACGACGTAACTAATTCCTTATTGGTTTTTTTTAAACAGGTTTGCTAAGGCCCATTATTTAGTAAGGTTGCTGCATTCTTCGCGGGATTTCATCTTTTCCAATTTCGTAGAAGTGACAATGGAGGAAGAATTTCTTGAGATTCCGAAAGAAATTCTACTGTATTTTCTTGAGTCAGAGTATCTTCATATTGACTATGAGTTTCAGGTAAAATAATTTTTTTTATTTAATATTACAAACTTTCAACTGACTTTATTTACAAAAGTTTTAACCAAAAACTATCAAAATTAACTTTCTCTATTATTTATTGCAGGTATTCTCTGCTGCTATTAGATGATTACAAATTTAAGAACTAATAGATATGTTGTTGGTATTTTGACATTTTTAAAACGAATGAAATTATCTTTTAATTTCAAGTAAACTAATAGAAAATTAATTAATGAATGCTTCCTCTGATATTAGATTTAAGGTTAACTTTTAAACAGTAGATAAACTTATGCCAAAAGGGCAGCCTTATATGTCCAGCCAAGAATTTGTACTCGAAAGAAAATTTATGTCATAGGTGGATTAAAGAAAGAAAACTATTACCAAAATAAATTTAAAAAAAGTGTCGAATGTTTTGATATCTTTAGGCAGATATGGCAGAAAGTTTGCCCCATGAAAATTGTGAGAAATTCACCAGGAATAGCAGTCTTACATAGAAAAATTTTCGTTGTTGGAGGGATTGGAAAGGAGAGTCAGATTTTGACGGATGGCGAAGTTTATAATCCACAGGAAGATTATTGGACTGGAATATCTTCTATGGTGATCCCACGGTGTAATTTTGGATTATGCGCTCATGGAGGTTATCTCTATGCCTTCGGTGGTTGGATGGGATCGGTTATGGAAAAAAGTATTGAAAGATATGACCCTATTACAGATGAGTGGAGATTATTAGAGTCAAATATGCCAGAAGGTAGATCCAAGTAAGTATGATAACAATTTTCAAATTGGATTTACTGACTAATAGTATGAACACTGATAATAATGAGAAAATATAACAGTGCCTATACTTTTTTTCTTTTTACAGCATGGGTATAGTAGAACATCAAGGTCTTATTTATATTGTTAGTGGATATATGGACTTTTACAACCCCATGCATGATCTTCTCTCATACAATCCTGTAACTGGGGAGTGGAGAGCACTAGCAGGACGTGCTCCACCTCGCTACAACTACATGGGTGTTGCAGTTTTGAATAACTTTTTGTATTTAGTGGGTGGCCTTCTTTTTAATGAAGAAGCGGAAAAATCACTAGAAAGATATTCTTTTGAACAGGTAATATGTATGCTTATTATTATATACAATACAATTTGAATTACAGTAGTGAAAATTGTATAACTCCCTTCTTTTCTCTTTCCCAAGACAACAATAATGATTTAAGTATATTGAAGAAGAATTTTTGTAATACTGTATGTAGTGTAATGAAAAGAGGGAGTAAAAATTGTATAACCTCCCCTCCCTCCTTTTCCTTCCACAGAACAAATGGTTTAAGTGTTCATCAATGAATTTTGATCGAAGTATCCCAGCAGTTGTTGCCACAAATTCTCTGTTATATGTCATAGGAGGTCACCGTCAAAATAACCTTAATAGATTGGTAAGAAAGGGAGAATGGCAATGGAAGAATGAAATGAATTAATTATATGGAATGAATTATATTACAATTTTAACCTTCTAACTTTTTTTTTAGGTATCTGTCGCTAATGTGGAATATTTCGACCCTAAGAATAATAAGTGGATGAACTGTACATCACTCCCTGAGGGCCGGTCTTATTCTAGAGCAGTCTTAATTTGACTCCCTAAACCTTCCTCAAGACTGATATTATCTTCATATTTAATCCATTTAAAAAGGTTTGCTTTCTATCTTTTAATTTAACTTACCTAACATGAAATTTGAAAGTATCCTTATAATTAGTATCTGAAGCTGCATGTGTGGTGGAGCTTTCTCATCACGAGGAGGAGGAATGTAAATCTTATCCTAACTACCTGACGATATACATTTGGAGGTGAGGACGGAAGCATCACCACCACCACCTCTTACCTCCCCTTCTCTGTTAAAATTACCAGATATCACCACTACCACTATTTACAAAAAACACTGGTGGGTTGTGTGGTTAGTGTTACATTAGTATTTGAGAATGGCGGCGACACGTGTGGATCACAAATTTAATCTATTTAAACTGCTCATAGAATTTATATATACTGGTGAGGATAATTTCGGAACAAAATAAAAACTTAAATTAATGTATAGTTTTTACTACCTATCCCAGGCTGCTGTAGTTTAGTTTTGCTACTGTTTGGAGGTGAGGACGGAAGCATCACCACCACCACCTCTTACCTCCCCCTCTCTGTTAAAATTACCAGATATCACCACTACCACTATTTACAAAAAACACTGGTGGGTTGTGTGGTTAGTGTTACATTAGTATTTGAGAATGGCGGCGACACGTGTGGATCACAAATTTAATCTATTTAAACTGCTCATAGAATTTATATATACTGGTGAGGATAATTTCGGAACAATCGAGATAACAAAGGAAAACATACAGGAGTTAATTGTGACTGCAAACATGATAGGAATACCCCAGGTTGTACGTATTTGTACAAACTTTCTCAGGAGAGAACTTCATCCATCCAATGCTTTAAGAATTTACAGGTACGTACAGTATAATAATTAATATTATTTTCTTGTTTTGATGTTTTTTATTTGTATATGTACGTATACAATGCAGAATTTGAACTAAATCCCATTTTTTTTCTTTTTGTTGGGGGAACAGGTTTGCTGAGGCCCATAATTTAGTATCGTTGCTGCATTACGGGACTTCATCTTGACCAATTTCGTGGAAGTGACAAAGGAGCAGGGGGCTTGAAGAAACCTTCCTCAAGACTGACATTATCTTCATATTTAATCCATTTAAAATAAAAAAAGCTTGCTTTCTATCTTTTTAACTTACCTAATATGAAATTTTAAAGTAATAAAGAACTGACCAAAGCTGTCTAACGTTGCTTATCACATACGTTACAGCAAAACTTTGCTTCCTTGTCATGTGACTTATGCTTAACTATAGTGAAAAAGAAGTAAAAAATTGTCATGTAGAGGGAGTATTTTGATCCTAAGGATAACAAATGAAGAAACTGTACACCCCTGAGGAACGGTATGATGAGTAAAAAAGTGTATATTTTTTTGCTTTTTTTTATCCAGGTCTTCTTTAATGGGCCCCAGGGTTAATGGGGCCTCTAATCTTAATGGGCCCTTAGTCTTAATGGGTCCCAGTTTTAATGGACACTCAACTAACTTAACACACAAATATTACATATTAAATTACCCCAACATACTGAAAGAAAGAGGCTGCTGGCTGTAGTTTAGTTTTGTTATTGTTTGAAGAAGCAACGGAAGCACCACCACCACCACCACCACCACCACGGGTATTACCAGATATCACCACATAACTAAAAACAAAACTGACAACTGGTTAGTATTACATTAGTATCTGAAGATGGCGGCTGCACATGTGGAGCTCTCTCATCACAAGGAGAAAGAGGAGCAGGAGAAGGAGGAGGAAGAGGAATGTAAATCTTATCCGAACTACCTGCTAGACTACATACATTTCCTCTGGCAGTCACAAGAATTATGTGATGTAGAAATATTATTAGCTGATGGATCAGTTATGAAGGTGAGTAAGTGAAACATTTATCTGTAAGTGAAGAAACATTTACCTCCTACCTATATATCTTTCTCTGCCCGCCCTCCATCACTCACTCACCATTTACACACATATAGGGGGAGGGAAACTTAACTACACTGCCCACACTCACCATCCGTTTAGGAGAAGTCAGTGGAACATGGTTAACAAAGTATATCCAGTACAGTAGAAGAAATTTCCCTGTTCCCCCAACTTCCCTTCTTCTCCGACACAAATAAAGAGTTACTTATCCAACTTTCTTCTCACGAGAGAATCAATGTTTCCAAGCAGTGATTTGATTTGGGCGGCTTGCTTCCTAGCAGTGGTTTGATTTGGGCGGCTTGCTTCCTAGCAGTGGTTTAATTTTGTTGTCTGTCCGTCCATAATTCTCTCACTTTTATGTAATCTGATGGGATTACATTTTATTCCACAGGCTCACCGTGTAATACTGTCAGCTGGAAGCAAATATTTTAAGACCATGTTTACGTGTGAATTTGCTGAGAAAACAACACAGTCAATAGAAATGAAGTTCATGAAACCCAATATATTACGACTGCTCGTCGACTTCATATATACTGGTAAGGGAAAATATTTTAAGTTTTCATAGTGCTATGCTGCTATCTATATGTAAAAATTTTATTTTGTTGCAAATGAATAAATGAATTTTTTTTTTCTTTTTTTGTCAAAAACTTTAGGAAACATCGAGATAACAGTGGAAAATGCACAGGAGTTAATTGCGGCTGCGAACATGTTGATGATATCACGTGCTGTACTTGTTTGTATAGACTTTCTCAAGAGCGAACTTCATCCATCTAATGCTTTGGGAATTTACCGGTACGTGCAGTATAATAATAATAGTTAATTATTTTCCAACTGTTTATATAATATGTATTTTTATCTGTCCTATACGAAATAAATTTATTTTTTTTTTAAAAACAGGTTTGCTGAGGCCCATAATTTAGTAAGGTTGCTGCATTCTTCCCGGGACTTCATCTTCTCCAATTTCGTAGAAGTGACAATGGAGCAAGAATTTCTTGAGATTCCTTCTTCAACACACACACTTAAAATAAAAAAATAAAATACTTCTGTTGCTGGCTGTAGTTTATAGTTGTTACTGTTTGAAGAAGCAACAGAAGAATCACCACCACAACCACCACCACTACCACCACCACCACCACCATCACCACGGGTATTACCAGATATCACCACACCACCACTAAAAACAAAACTGACAACTGGTTAGTATTACATTAGTATCTGAAGATGGCGGCTGCACGTGTGGAGATCTCTCATTACGAGGAGGAGGAGGAGGAGGAGTGTAAATCTTATCCTAACTACCTGCAAGACTGCATACATTTCCTCTGGCAGTTACAACAGTTATGTGATGTAGAAATATTATTAGCTGATGGATCAATTATGAAGGTGAGTGAGTGATATATCTTTCTCTGCCCTCCATCACCCAAATCTTAAAAAACAAAAACTGATGGATTACATTTTATTTCACAGGCTCACCGTGGAATACTGTCAGGAGGAAGCGATTATTTTAAGACAATGTTTACGTGTGGATTTGCTGAGAAAACAACACAGTCAATAGAAATGAAGTCTATGAAACCCAATATATTACAACTGCTCGTCCACTTCATATATACTGGTAAGGGGAAACATTTTAAGTTTTCATAATGCTGCTATACTTATATTTAAATTAAAACGAAATACATTATGAATAAAAAACTTTTTTTTAATACTTTAGGAAAAATGAAGATAACAGTGGAAAATGCACAGGAGTTAATTGCGGCTGCGAACATGCTGATGATGTCCCGTGCTGTACGGTTTTGTACAGACTTTCTTAAGAGTGAACTTCATTCATCTAATGCTATGGGAATTTACCGGTATGTGCAGTATAATAATTAATTATTTTCAAACTATTTATATAATACGACGTAACTAATTCCATATTGTTTTTTTTTTAAACAGGTTTGCTAAGGCCCATTATTTAGTAAGGTTGCTGCATTCTTCGCGGGATTTCATCTTTTCCAATTTCGTAGAAGTGACAATGGAGGAAGAATTTCTTGAGATTCCGAAAGAAATTCTACTGTATTTTCTTGAGTCAGAGTATCTTCATATTGACTCTGAGTTTCAGGTAAAATAATTTTTTTTATTTAATATTACAAACTTTCAACTGACTTTATATAATAAAGTTTTAATCCCCAACTATCAAAATTAACTTTCTCTATTATTTATTGCAGGTATTCTCTGCTGCTATTAGATGGATTACACGAAGAACTAATAGATATGGTTGTTGGTATTTTGACATTTTAAAACGAATGAAATTATCTTTAATTTCAAGTAAACTAATAGAAAAATTAATTAATGAATGCTCCTCTGATATTAGATTTAAGGTTAACCTTAAACAGCAGACAAACTTGGCGGCCAAAAGGGCAGCCTTATATGTCCAGCCAAGAATTTGTACTCGAAAGAAAATTTATGTCATAGGTGGATTAAAGAAAGAAAACTATTACCAAAATAAATTTAAAAAAAGTGTCGAATGTTTTGATATCTTTAGGCAGATATGGCAGAAAGTTTGCCCCATGAAAATTGTGAGAAATTCACCAGGAATAGCAGTCTTACATAGAAAAATTTTCGTTGTTGGAGGGATTGGAAAGGAGAGTCAGATTTTGACGGATGGCGAAGTTTATAATCCACAGGAAGATTATTGGACTGGAATATCTTCTATGGTGATCCCACGGTGTAATTTTGGATTATGCGCTCATGGAGGTTATCTCTATGCCTTCGGTGGTTGGATGGGATCGGTTATGGAAAAAAGTATTGAAAGATATGACCCTATTACAGATGAGTGGAGATTATTAGAGTCAAATATGCCAGAAGGTAGATCCAAGTAAGTATAATAACAATTTTCAAATTGGATTTACTGACTAATAGTATGAACACTGATAATAATGAGAAAATATAACAGTGCCTATACTTTTTTTCTTTTTACAGCATGGGTATAGTAGAACATCAAGGTCTTATTTATATTGTTAGTGGATATATGGACTTTTACAACCCCATGCATGATCTTCTCTCATACAATCCTGTAACTGGGGAGTGGAGAGCACTAGCAGGACGTGCTCCACCTCGCTACAACTACATGGGTGTTGCAGTTTTGAATAACTTTTTGTATTTAGTGGGTGGCCTTCTTTTTAATGAAGAAGCGGAAAAATCACTAGAAAGATATTCTTTTGAACAGGTAATATGTATGCTTATTATTATATACAATACAATTTGAATTACAGTAGTGAAAAGGGAGTAAAAATTGTATAACTCCCTTCTTTTCTCTTTCCCAAGACAACAATAATGATTTAAGTATATTGAAGAAGAATTTTTGTAATACTGTATGTAGTGTAATGAAAAGAGGGAGTAAAAATTGTATAACCTCCCCTCCCTTCTTTTCCTTCCACAGAACAAATGGTTTAAGTGTTCATCAATGAATTTTGATCGAAGTATCCCAGCAGTTGTTGCCACAAATTCTCTGTTATATGTCATAGGAGGTCACCGTCAAAATAACCTTAATAGATTGGTAAGAAAGGGAGAATGGCAATGGAAGAATGAAATGAATTAATTATATGGAATGAATTATATTACAATTTTAACCTTCTAACTTTTTTTTTAGGTATCTGTCGCTAATGTGGAATATTTCGACCCTAAGAATAATAAGTGGATGAACTGTACATCACTCCCTGAGGGCCGGTCTTATTCTAGAGCAGTCTTAATTTGACTCCCTAAACCTTCCTCAAGACTGATATTATCTTCATATTTAATCCATTTAAAAAGGTTTGCTTTCTATCTTTTAATTTAACTTACCTAACATGAAATTTGAAAGTATCCTTATAATTAGTATCTGAAGCTGCATGTGTGGTGGAGCTTTCTCATCACGAGGAGGAGGAATGTAAATCTTATCCTAACTACCTGACGATATACATTTGGAGGTGAGGACGGAAGCATCACCACCACCACCTCTTACCTCCCCTTCTCTGTTAAAATTACCAGATATCACCACTACCACTATTTACAAAAAACACTGGTGGGTTGTGTGGTTAGTGTTACATTAGTATTTGAGAATGGCGGCGACACGTGTGGATCACAAATTTAATCTATTTAAACTGCTCATAGAATTTATATATACTGGTGAGGATAATTTCGGAACAAAATAAAAACTTAAATTAATGTATAGTTTTTACTACCTATCCCAGGCTGCTGTAGTTTAGTTTTGCTACTGTTTGGAGGTGAGGACGGAAGCATCACCACCACCACCTCTTACCTCCCCCTCTCTGTTAAAATTACCAGATATCACCACTACCACTATTTACAAAAAACACTGGTGGGTTGTGTGGTTAGTGTTACATTAGTATTTGAGAATGGCGGCGACACGTGTGGATCACAAATTTAATCTATTTAAACTGCTCATAGAATTTATATATACTGGTGAGGATAATTTCGGAACAATCGAGATAACAAAGGAAAACATACAGGAGTTAATTGTGACTGCAAACATGATAGGAATACCCCAGGTTGTACGTATTTGTACAAACTTTCTCAGGAGAGAACTTCATCCATCCAATGCTTTAAGAATTTACAGGTACGTACAGTATAATAATTAATATTATTTTCTTGTTTTGATGTTTTTTATTTGTATATGTACGTATACAATGCAGAATTTGAACTAAATCCCATTTTTTTTCTTTTTGTTGGGGGAACAGGTTTGCTGAGGCCCATAATTTAGTATCGTTGCTGCATTCTTCACGGGACTTCATCTTGACCAATTTCGTGGAAGTGACAAAGGAGCAGGGGGCTTGAAGAGAAACCTTCCTCAAGACTGACATTATCTTCATATTTAATCCATTTAAAATAAAAAAAAGCTTGCTTTCTATCTTTTTAACTTACCTAATATGAAATTTTAAAGTAATAAAGAACTGACCAAAGCTGTCTAACGTTGCTTATCACATACGTTACAGCAAAACTTTGCTTCCTTGTCATGTGACTTATGCTTAACTATAGTGAAAAAGAAGTAAAAAATTGTCATGTAGAGGGAGTATTTTGATCCTAAGGATAACAAATGAAGAAACTGTACACCCCTGAGGAACGGTATGATGAGTAAAAAAGTGTATATTTTTTTGCTTTTTTTTATCCAGGTCTTCTTTAATGGGCCCCAGGGTTAATGGGGCCTCTAATCTTAATGGGCCCTTAGTCTTAATGGGTCCCAGTTTTAATGGACACTCAACTAACTTAACACACAAATATTACATATTAAATTACCCCAACATACTGAAAGAAAGAGGCTGCTGGCTGTAGTTTAGTTTTGTTATTGTTTGAAGAAGCAACGGAAGCACCACCACCACCACCACCACCACCACGGGTATTACCAGATATCACCACATAACTAAAAACAAAACTGACAACTGGTTAGTATTACATTAGTATCTGAAGATGGCGGCTGCACATGTGGAGCTCTCTCATCACAAGGAGAAAGAGGAGCAGGAGAAGGAGGAGGAAGAGGAATGTAAATCTTATCCGAACTACCTGCTAGACTACATACATTTCCTCTGGCAGTCACAAGAATTATGTGATGTAGAAATATTATTAGCTGATGGATCAGTTATGAAGGTGAGTAAGTGAAACATTTATCTGTAAGTGAAGAAACATTTACCTCCTACCTATATATCTTTCTCTGCCCGCCCTCCATCACTCACTCACCATTTACACACATATAGGGGGAGGGAAACTTAACTACACTGCCCACACTCACCATCCGTTTAGGAGAAGTCAGTGGAACATGGTTAACAAAGTATATCCAGTACAGTAGAAGAAATTTCCCTGTTCCCCCAACTTCCCTTCTTCTCCGACACAAATAAAGAGTTACTTATCCAACTTTCTTCTCACGAGAGAATCAATGTTTCCAAGCAGTGATTTGATTTGGGCGGCTTGCTTCCTAGCAGTGGTTTGATTTGGGCGGCTTGCTTCCTAGCAGTGGTTTAATTTTGTTGTCTGTCCGTCCATAATTCTCTCACTTTTATGTAATCTGATGGGATTACATTTTATTCCACAGGCTCACCGTGTAATACTGTCAGCTGGAAGCAAATATTTTAAGACCATGTTTACGTGTGAATTTGCTGAGAAAACAACACAGTCAATAGAAATGAAGTTCATGAAACCCAATATATTACGACTGCTCGTCGACTTCATATATACTGGTAAGGGAAAATATTTTAAGTTTTCATAGTGCTATGCTGCTATCTATATGTAAAAATTTTATTTTGTTGCAAATGAATAAATGAATTTTTTTTTTCTTTTTTTGTCAAAAACTTTAGGAAACATCGAGATAACAGTGGAAAATGCACAGGAGTTAATTGCGGCTGCGAACATGTTGATGATATCACGTGCTGTACTTGTTTGTATAGACTTTCTCAAGAGCGAACTTCATCCATCTAATGCTTTGGGAATTTACCGGTACGTGCAGTATAATAATAATAGTTAATTATTTTCCAACTGTTTATATAATATGTATTTTTATCTGTCCTATACGTAATTTTTTTTTTTTTTTTTAAAAACAGGTTTGCTGAGGCCCATAATTTAGTAAGGTTGCTGCATTCTTCCCGGGACTTCATCTTCTCCAATTTCGTAGAAGTGACAATGGAGCAAGAATTTCTTGAGATTCCTTCTTCAACACACACACTTAAAATAAAAAAATAAAATACTTCTGTTGCTGGCTGTAGTTTATAGTTGTTACTGTTTGAAGAAGCAACAGAAGAATCACCACCACAACCACCACCACTACCACCACCACCACCACCATCACCACGGGTATTACCAGATATCACCACACCACTACTAAAAACAAAACTGACAACTGGTTAGTATTACATTAGTATCTGAAGATGGCGGCTGCACATGTGGAGATCTCTCATTACGAGGAGGAGGAGGAGGAGGAGTGTAAATCTTATCCTAACTACCTGCAAGACTGCATACATTTCCTCTGGCAGTTACAACAGTTATGTGATGTAGAAATATTATTAGCTGATGGATCAATTATGAAGGTGAGTGAGTGATATATCTTTCTCTGCCCTCCATCACCCAAATCTTAAAAAACAAAAACTGATGGATTACATTTTATTTCACAGGCTCACCGTGGAATACTGTCAGGAGGAAGCGATTATTTTAAGACAATGTTTACGTGTGGATTTGCTGAGAAAACAACACAGTCAATAGAAATGAAGTCTATGAAACCCAATATATTACAACTGCTCGTCCACTTCATATATACTGGTAAGGGGAAACATTTTAAGTTTTCATAATGCTGCTATACTTATATTTAAATTAAAACGAAATACATTATGAATAAAAAACTTTTTTTTAATACTTTAGGAAAAATGAAGATAACAGTGGAAAATGCACAGGAGTTAATTGCGGCTGCGAACATGCTGATGATGTCCCGTGCTGTACGGTTTTGTACAGACTTTCTTAAGAGTGAACTTCATTCATCTAATGCTATGGGAATTTACCGGTATGTGCAGTATAATAATTAATTATTTTCAAACTATTTATATAATACGACGTAACTAATTCCATATTGTTTTTTTTTTAAACAGGTTTGCTAAGGCCCATTATTTAGTAAGGTTGCTGCATTCTTCGCGGGATTTCATCTTTTCCAATTTCGTAGAAGTGACAATGGAGGAAGAATTTCTTGAGATTCCGAAAGAAATTCTACTGTATTTTCTTGAGTCAGAGTATCTTCATATTGACTCTGAGTTTCAGGTAAAATAATTTTTTTTATTTAATATTACAAACTTTCAACTGACTTTATATAATAAAGTTTTAATCCCCAACTATCAAAATTAACTTTCTCTATTATTTATTGCAGGTATTCTCTGCTGCTATTAGATGGATTACACGAAGAACTAATAGATATGGTTGTTGGTATTTTGACATTTTAAAACGAATGAAATTATCTTTAATTTCAAGTAAACTAATAGAAAAATTAATTAATGAATGCTCCTCTGATATTAGATTTAAGGTTAACCTTAAACAGCAGACAAACTTGGCGGCCAAAAGGGCAGCCTTATATGTCCAGCCAAGAATTTGTACTCGAAAGAAAATTTATGTCATAGGTGGATTAAAGAAAGAAAACTATTACCAAAATAAATTTAAAAAAAGTGTCGAATGTTTTGATATCTTTAGGCAGATATGGCAGAAAGTTTGCCCCATGAAAATTGTGAGAAATTCACCAGGAATAGCAGTCTTACATAGAAAAATTTTCGTTGTTGGAGGGATTGGAAAGGAGAGTCAGATTTTGACGGATGGCGAAGTTTATAATCCACAGGAAGATTATTGGACTGGAATATCTTCTATGGTGATCCCACGGTGTAATTTTGGATTATGCGCTCATGGAGGTTATCTCTATGCCTTCGGTGGTTGGATGGGATCGGTTATGGAAAAAAGTATTGAAAGATATGACCCTATTACAGATGAGTGGAGATTATTAGAGTCAAATATGCCAGAAGGTAGATCCAAGTAAGTATGATAACAATTTTCAAATTGGATTTACTGACTAATAGTATGAACACTGATAATAATGAGAAAATATAACAGTGCCTATACTTTTTTTCTTTTTACAGCATGGGTATAGTAGAACATCAAGGTCTTATTTATATTGTTAGTGGATATATGGACTTTTACAACCCCATGCATGATCTTCTCTCATACAATCCTGTAACTGGGGAGTGGAGAGCACTAGCAGGACGTGCTCCACCTCGCTACAACTACATGGGTGTTGCAGTTTTGAATAACTTTTTGTATTTAGTGGGTGGCCTTCTTTTTAATGAAGAAGCGGAAAAATCACTAGAAAGATATTCTTTTGAACAGGTAATATGTATGCTTATTATTATATACAATACAATTTGAATTACAGTAGTGAAAATTGTATAACTCCCTTCTTTTCTCTTTCCCAAGACAACAATAATGATTTAAGTATATTGAAGAAGAATTTTTGTAATACTGTATGTAGTGTAATGAAAAGAGGGAGTAAAAATTGTATAACCTCCCCTCCCTTCTTTTCCTTCCACAGAACAAATGGTTTAAGTGTTCATCAATGAATTTTGATCGAAGTATCCCAGCAGTTGTTGCCACAAATTCTCTGTTATATGTCATAGGAGGTCACCGTCAAAATAACCTTAATAGATTGGTAAGAAAGGGAGAATGGCAATGGAAGAATGAAATGAATTAATTATATGGAATGAATTATATTACAATTTTAACCTTCTAACTTTTTTTTTAGGTATCTGTCGCTAATGTGGAATATTTCGACCCTAAGAATAATAAGTGGATGAACTGTACATCACTCCCTGAGGGCCGGTCTTATTCTAGAGCAGTCTTAATTTGACTCCCTAAACCTTCCTCAAGACTGATATTATCTTCATATTTAATCCATTTAAAAAGGTTTGCTTTCTATCTTTTAATTTAACTTACCTAACATGAAATTTGAAAGTATCCTTATAATTAGTATCTGAAGCTGCATGTGTGGTGGAGCTTTCTCATCACGAGGAGGAGGAATGTAAATCTTATCCTAACTACCTGACGATATACATTTGGAGGTGAGGACGGAAGCATCACCACCACCACCTCTTACCTCCCCTTCTCTGTTAAAATTACCAGATATCACCACTACCACTATTTACAAAAAACACTGGTGGGTTGTGTGGTTAGTGTTACATTAGTATTTGAGAATGGCGTACGTGTGGATCTAAATTTAATCTATTTAAACTGCTCATAAATTTATATATACTGGTGAGGATAATTTCGGAACAAAATAAAAACTTAAATTAATGTATAGTTTTTACTACCTATCCCAGGCTGCTGTAGTTTAGTTTTGCTACTGTTTGGAGGTGAGGACGGAAGCATCACCACCACCACCTCTTACCTCCCCCTCTCTGTTAAAATTACCAGATATCACCACTACCACTATTTACAAAAAACACTGGTGGGTTGTGTGGTTAGTGTTACATTAGTATTTGAGAATGGCGGCGACACGTGTGGATCACAAATTTAATCTATTTAAACTGCTCATAGAATTTATATATACTGGTGAGGATAATTTCGGAACAATCGAGATAACAAAGGAAAACATACAGGAGTTAATTGTGACTGCAAACATGATAGGAATACCCCAGGTTGTACGTATTTGTACAAACTTTCTCAGGAGAGAACTTCATCCATCCAATGCTTTAAGAATTTACAGGTACGTACAGTATAATAATTAATATTATTTTCTTGTTTTGATGTTTTTTATTTGTATATGTACGTATACAATGCAGAATTTGAACTAAATCCCATTTTTTTTCTTTTTGTTGGGGGAACAGGTTTGCTGAGGCCCATAATTTAGTATCGTTGCTGCATTCTTCACGGGACTTCATCTTGACCAATTTCGTGGAAGTGACAAAGGAGCAGGGGGCTTGAAGAGAAACCTTCCTCAAGACTGACATTATCTTCATATTTAATCCATTTAAAATAAAAAAAGCTTGCTTTCTATCTTTTTAACTTACCTAATATGAAATTTTAAAGTAATAAAGAACTGACCAAAGCTGTCTAACGTTGCTTATCACATACGTTACAGCAAAACTTTGCTTCCTTGTCATGTGACTTATGCTTAACTATAGTGAAAAAGAAGTAAAAAATTGTCATGTAGAGGGAGTATTTTGATCCTAAGGATAACAAATGAAGAAACTGTACACCCCTGAGGAACGGTATGATGAGTAAAAAAGTGTATATTTTTTTGCTTTTTTTTATCCAGGTCTTCTTTAATGGGCCCCAGGGTTAATGGGGCCTCTAATCTTAATGGGCCCTTAGTCTTAATGGGCCCCAGTTTTAATGGACACTCAACTAACTTAACACACAAATATTACATATTATTAAATTACCCCAACATACTGAAAGAAAGAGGCTGCTGGCTGTAGTTTAGTTTTGTTATTGTTTGAAGAAGCAACGGAAGCACCACCACCACCACCACCACCACGGGTATTACCAGATATCACCACACAACTAAAAACAAAACTGACAACTGGTTAGTATTACATTAGTATCTGAAGATGGCGGCTGCACATGTGGAGCTCTCTCATCACAAGGAGAAAGAGGAGCAGGAGAAGGAGGAGGAAGAGGAATGTAAATCTTATCCGAACTACCTGCTAGACTACATACATTTCCTCTGGCAGTCACAAGAATTATGTGATGTAGAAATATTATTAGCTGATGGATCAGTTGTGAAGGTGAGTAAGTGAAACATTTATCTGTAAGTGAAGAAACATTTACCTCCTACCTATATATCTTTCTCTGCCCGCCCTCCATCACTCACTCACCATTTACACACATATAGGGGGAGGGAAACTTAACTACACTGCCCACACTCACCATCCGTTTAGGAGAAGTCAGTGGAACATGGTTAACAAAGTATATCCAGTACAGTAGAAGAAATTTCCCTGTTCCCCCAACTTCCCTTCTTCTCCGACACAAATAAAGAGTTACTTATCCAACTTTCTTCTCACGAGAGAATCAATGTTTCCAAGCAGTGATTTGATTTGGGCGGCTTGCTTCCTAGCAGTGGTTTGATTTGGGCGGCTTGCTTCCTAGCAGTGGTTTAATTTTGTTGTCTGTCCGTCCATAATTCTCTCACTTTTATGTAATCTGATGGGATTACATTTTATTCCACAGGCTCACCGTGTAATACTGTCAGCTGGAAGCAAATATTTTAAGACCATGTTTACGTGTGAATTTGCTGAGAAAACAACACAGTCAATAGAAATGAAGTTCATGAAACCCAATATATTACGACTGCTCGTCGACTTCATATATACTGGTAAGGGAAAATATTTTAAGTTTTCATAGTGCTATGCTGCTATCTATATGTAAAAATTTTATTTTGTTGCAAATGAATAAATGAATTTTTTTTTTCTTTTTTTGTCAAAAACTTTAGGAAACATCGAGATAACAGTGGAAAATGCACAGGAGTTAATTGCGGCTGCGAACATGTTGATGATATCACGTGCTGTACTTGTTTGTATAGACTTTCTCAAGAGCGAACTTCATCCATCTAATGCTTTGGGAATTTACCGGTACGTGCAGTATAATAATAATAGTTAATTATTTTCCAACTGTTTATATAATATGTATTTTTATCTGTCCTATACGTAATTTTTTTTTTTTTTTTTAAAAACAGGTTTGCTGAGGCCCATAATTTAGTAAGGTTGCTGCATTCTTCCCGGGACTTCATCTTCTCCAATTTCGTAGAAGTGACAATGGAGCAAGAATTTCTTGAGATTCCGAAAGAAATTCTGCTGTATTTTTTGGATTCAGAGTATCTTCATATTGACTCTGAGTTTCAGGTAAAATGTAAATATTTTTTTTTTATTTAATATGTACAACTTTCAATTGACTTTTATTTACAAGATTATTAACCCGAATTTATCTTTCTATTATTTATTGCAGGTATTCTCTGCTGCTATCAGATGGATTACACAAGCACAAGATATAAATAATAGATATTGTTGTTGGAATTTTGACATTTTAAAACGACTGAAATTGCCTTTAATTTCAAGTAAACTAATAAAAAAAGCAATTAATGAGTGCTCCGCTGATATTAAATTGAAGGTTAACCTTAAAAAGCAGACAAACTTGGCTAAAAAGGAAGCAGCCTTTTCTGTCCAGCCAAGAATTTGTACTCGAAAGAAAATTTATCTCATAGGTGGATTCATGAAAGAACTCTATATATCAGATGGGTTTACATTTAAAAGTGTCGAATGTTTTGATATCTTTAGGCAGAAATGGCAGAAAGTTTGCCCTATGAAAATTGTGAGAAGTTCACCAGGAATAGCAGTCTTAAATGGGAAAATTTTCGTTGTTGGAGGGAGTGGAGAGGACAGTCAGATTTGGGCAGATGGCGAAGTTTATGATCCACAGGAAGATTATTGGACTGGAATATCTTCTATGGTGATCCCACGGTCTGATTTTGGATTATGCGCTCATGGAGGTTTTCTCTATGCCTTCGGTGGTTGGACGGGATTGGTCATCGAAAAAAGTATTGAAAGATATGACCCTATTGCAGATGAGTGGACATTATTAGAGTCAAATATGCCAGAAGGTAGATCCAAGTAAGTACAATAACAATTTTCAAATTGGATTTACTGACTGATAGTGTGAACTACTGATAATAATGAGAAAATATAAGTGCCTATCCTTTTTTTTTTTTTTTACAGAATGGGTATAGTAGAAAATCAAGGTCTTATTTACATTGTTAGTGGACGTATGGACTCTTATAACCCCTTTCATGAACTTCTCTCATACAATCCTGTAACTGGGGAGTGGAGAGATCTAGCAGCACTGAGTGCTCCACCTCGCTACAACTACATGGGTGTTGCAGTTTTGAATAACTTTTTGTATTTAGTGGGTGGTCTTTTTAATGAAGAAGGGGAAAAATCACTAGAAAGATATTCTTTTGAACAGGTAATGTGCATGCTTATAATTATATACAATACAATTTGAATTATAGTAGTGAAAAGGGAGTAAAAATTATATAACTCCCTTCTTTTCTCTTTCCAAAGACAATAATAATAATTTAAGTAATATGGGAGAAGAATTTTTGTAATAATGTAGTGTTGTATAACCTCCCTTCTTTTCCTTTCCACAGAACGAATGGTTTAAGTGTTCATCAATGAATTTTTGGCGAAGTATCCCAGCAGTTGTTGCCACAAATTCTCTGTTATATATCATAGGTGGTCATCGTCCCAATGACCACCTTGAACTGGTAAGAAAGGAAGAATGGAAATGGAAGAATGAAATGAATAAATTATATTACAAATTTAACCACCTAACCACCT